GGGATTGACTTTCAGGACTCGAATCAGGCCAAGTAAAGGAATGCATGTATAATGGCAGTTTCAGTTTCTTTTGATTTGTCTGAAAGCAGATTGTCGCAAAGGGATGCATCAGGGGGAAGGTTGGGAGGAAGGCAGTTTTGCTTGCGACTGAACGGGTCTTGTAGGGTCAGGCATTGTTTCTAAGATGAATGGCCTGATTGCTATGTTTTGTTTTGTTTTCTGAAGGACCAAACATTGTTTCTAAGATGAATGGCTTGGTTGTTGTGTTTCTTTAATTGTGTCAGACATTGGTTCTAAGATGAATGGCCTGGCTACTTACTTCTGAGGGGTATTGCTTGCTTGACTTTTGAGGGTCAGACATTGTTTCTAAGATGAATGGTCTGGCCGTTGTTTTACTTGGGTGGTTTCTGAACAGTCTCTCGGTCAGACCCAGGGTACTCTGCTTTTTTTGTGTGCTGAAAAGGGGAGAGCTGAGCATTGTTTCTAAGATGAATGACTCATCTCTCCTTGATTGTTTTTATTCTGAGGGAGGATTCAGGGTCAGAGGACTAGACATTGTTTCTAAGATGAATGGTCTAAGTCTGAGGCCTTAATACCATAATGAGAACCAAGGAATAAGATTCTCTATATTGTGATATATATATATATACTCATATACGAACAGGGCTAGTCAAACATTGTTTCTAAGATGAATGGCCTGACTATAGCCTTATCACAAGCGAAAAGAGTATATATTAGGGTTATAACTGAAGGTAACCTGGGCAGGTTGGGCATTGTTTCTAAGATGAATGGCCCGACCCTATGCCCTCCTCTTGAAGACCAAGGTGCAGAAAGATATATATAACTTGGCTATTTAAACAGTTCAGGGCGACTAAGCATGATTTCTAAGATGAATGGCTTAGTCATGTGCCCAATGAAGAGAGAAGTAGTTGTGCAACCTGTTCGTGTATAACTAAGGCAGAGGGCTGGCATTGTTTCTAAGATGAATGACCAGTCCCAATGCCCTATGTAAGTAGGGTATAAAGGGTTAAAACACTGAAAGACTATGAACTAATGTTTGCTAGGTCAACCTGGGGATGGGGATAGTACTTACCTTTGTGGTTTGACCTGCCTGTGACTGAGTGAGGCTACTACTTGGTCTGAGTTTCAGTTTGACAGGTAGTTGCTTTAGAGACTCGCCACGTTCTAGAGCGATAGGAGTTAGTTCAATTTCTGCATTTTCTGAGCTAAGTTTATTTTACTTAGATCCATTTCTCGCATTTTATGGGATCTTTTGTTATACTTGGCCTTGTATAAATTTTGGTAAGTTACTTTCTCTACGGGAAGCGTTGCTGAAATTTTTACAAATCCAAGGGGTTAGTGAAATTATTGACTTTTCAAAGTTCAACTTGTCTAAAGTTTATGTATGGCTTAGTACAAATCTGGAAAGTCTCATTTTTTAAAGGGGTTGCTGCCAAAATTTTTGCTAATCCAGGGAGTTGGACAAAATTAGACTTTGGAAAGTCAAAGACTATTTTTGGTTTCATATTCGGGCTGATATAAATTCTGAAAAGACACTTTTCCTACGGGAAGCGCTGTCGAAATTTTTCTAATTTAGAGGAGATAGATTATATTTCGACAGGTGGCGATTCTGGAGAGTCACCCTGAATAGGGGAGATTCTGCCATTGGTCTACCTTTGCTTTGGGCACTGCTTGAGGGTAGACTTGGGCTTAGTTAATTAGGATGTTTTTAGTGAGATCGTGATATGGGGATTATTCTCCATGAACTTATCGATTTAGTCGTGGGTATTGACCTGTCTTGTGTTACAGGTCCTCTGGATCGTGTTGATTCACGATTTGGACTAGATTCCGCTTGATCCTACGAGGATCATCATATGTTATCACTGATAACAGGTCGGTTGCCGATTCGTCGGTTTACGATTCAACTTCAATTCACTCCTGTCACTCAACCTAAAGGCTTTAGCCTTGAGATTTAAACTGTTTCGTTGTGTTTTCACCCGGACTTTATTGAATGACCATCCAACAAAAGTACTGAGTATTTATTTAAGAGTTGCACGAGTGAGGCTTGTATGGCTAAATCGAGGGGTATGAGTGCGAGGAATGGTTGAAGTAAACCCCGTGTAGTGTGTAGACTTCTGGATGAATCTTTGATGTGATTGCAGGTATGGTTGTGGTTCGGCTTCTGGATGTGACTGCCTGCGATTACATACATATATGGTTGAGAAGGGAGCCTCACTGTGACTGTGAGAAGTGATCGTCCTATATAATTAACCCTTATATACTTATAAGCGCCCTGAGTATTTGAAAGACCTACTGTAATTGAGCATAAGGGTTAACCAAATTGTGTCTTGAGAGAAAATGAAGATTCCCTTCTTACCCTTGCTTTTTAGAGTTGTATGGTTGGACGTTGTAGTCCGTGGCATCCGTCAAAGTCAAACCCCTTGATGTTCGACCGCCACGACAGCTTAAAGCTGTCTACTCAACCCCTCTGCACAGGGTGCAGAAGAGGGTGTGGTCTTCAACCGCGCATGGCGGTTGTCCAACGTCGAGAGATTAACCCTCAAGGCGCGTGTCAGCCGACACTTGAGTGTCGAACGCGACCCTCGCGATTAACGGGGACCGCGTGAGTATGGGTACCACATAGTACGCCATCATTGCGACCGCTTGCGTACGCTTGCATTGCGAGTCGATATGAGTTAGCCCTGCGTCCGCGCGATTTTATATTAAGTTTCTCGAGCGACGCCTATCCGATTTCTGCATCAGAAAGTTATGGGTTGACTACCGAGGGACTAGGAGCGTTGTCACGTTGTTTGTGTTGTGTCGTTTCGTGTGTATGTGTGTGCGTTGTTTGTTTTGTGTTCGTAGAGTGGTGTGCGCGTGGTGTGTGGGATGCGTCCTAGTCGACCGGCGACGAGTCGCGCTTGGGACCTCAGCCCCCCAAGATGTCAGTTCGCGTGCGGGTCCGATAGGCGTATTACCGCGCGTACCCCCTATGCTACAGTGAACGAGAAACGCCCTCGGCTGGTCCACCTCTGCGATTGCAACCGAGTAGCTTTCGTACTGTGGACTGGTAGCTCGGCGGGGATACGCCCACCGAAAGGAGGTGACAGCTCCCGTGAGGTGGAGGTAAGATGTGTCTCGCGTAGGCCCTATCCTGTCGTAGGGGCTCGCGAGAGGTATGGCTGGCGCACTCGGCCGGAGCGGCCTAAGGAAGCTCCATTTCTGTGTCCGTGAGGAGGTTGACCCAACTCCTGCGTGATGCGGCCGAGAGGGTCCCGCGCTGCCGCGTGCGGTGCCAGACCGATGCGCCCGGCACCGTCTTCCCCCAAACATAACACCCCCTAAAAATGAATGTATATGAGTTATTTTTCCGGCCAGATACAGCCAAAATGAGGGTGCGTTGTGTTCGGGTGAAGACGGTAGAGCCCTACACCACCCTACAGTGATCAACCCCACGTGTTTGAGAGCGTCATACACCCAGTGTCCTTTCCTGCTTGATCTCAGGATACACCTCTCACCATTGGCGCCGCACCTGGGCTTTGGACCGCGGACACCTGATATACAAAAACGTCGAACCTCGAAAAATAACGACAGTTTGCCGAGTGAGACCGGACCCTGGAAAATACCTGCAACTTGATCCTTAACACTGACAGTCACCTCCTGAGTTGGACGGTAAAGCGAGACCCACTAAGTTCCTTAACAGTGGAAATAAAAAGAAATGGAGAAACTAGAATGGAAAATATTTGTAAACATACCGTGAATTTTGGAGTACCAAAACGACCTGTCGGCTCCAAATATGAGGAAAGACCTTGTTTGGTAGAAAACGGCAACCTCATCAGCTGCTTTTTCTTGTACACTGAGAGGTCAATGAACAATCGTCTACCCTTCTTTGTTTCAGCAAACAGATTTTCGTATCCTGCGAACTTTGCCTTGTTGATCTCAATATGTTGACAAATCTGCATAGACATATGCGAAAAACACCACAGGATAAGAAACATGTACAATGAACCGAAGTTGAAAACTTTCGAAGGTTTGGGATAAAAAATTGAAGTGGACCGAATTAAAACATTATGATTGAGTTTCGAAAGCTGAAAAGATGTTTGCATGGATTTGACTCCTCGCCAATGCTAGTGAACGCCATGCCCGCCCGAAGGCGGACCTGCAAATCTGTGCTAAGGCCTGAGTTCAGGCCAGTGTGATCACGTCAAATGGTTGTGTGAAACTCTTTGTGGGCTTGTATCTTCGACGCAGCACTTTGTGAGTGCCCATCTGGGCTCTAAGGGTTATGCCCCACGCAGGCCCCTTTAGGGCCTCATCCTTGATATGTCGAGGCCCCGGGCATAAAGTGTACCCGCCCTAAGTGAAGGCGGGCCTGGAAAAATCATGCAAGGCCTACTTTTGTCTTTTTGCCCTGGATGCCAGGCATTTGCAGCATATGAGTTGATTACAGAGAAATATGAACCTTTTAAGACTCTTTCCAGGACTTGCAGCCTCGACAGGCAGTTGAGCCCAGGGCCCCGTATAGTTGAGGGCCTGGGCGTGAGCTAGCAAAGGTTGACACATCACACCACAGTAGCAGACCAATGAGATTTCAGCATTGTTGTCACATCTCAGCCATGAGCCAATGCGATCGCAGCAAACATATGGAGGTCATGGACATCCTGGTCGTGCCAAACTGTAAAGGGGCCCAACTGAAAGCTACACGATCCTCGCCCAGCCAGGCCCAGAGGCAGCAAAGGGTGACCTCACTTTCCATATAGGAAAGTGAGCAGCGCTAGGAAGCTCATTCAAGCCTTGGTAGGGCTTCTTTTTTAGTTTGTCCTTTATACCTTCCATTGATCAATGCATTGAGTGCGGCGGATCTCTTGAGATTTATAAAACTCCTGCAAGACCGTTTTTTTACCCAATGCAAGGAGTTCCTTATCCAGGACTTCTTTTTGACAAAAAATGTTCTCAGTGCTTAACATCATTTTCACATTCATTCTATGAACTGCGAAATGGGGAAAAAAGGATTTACAAGTCGAGAAAGAAACATGAGGACTGGTTTCAATTGAACTATGAGACAGTTATTAGTGTCACTCTGCTGAAGCAGCATGACCAACTCATGTAAGTATGAAACCTTGATTATGTTCTTATTAATTTTCAAATTCTCTGTGCAATGCTTTAATTTTCCTAATTGTTTTGTGTTTTCGACAGTTTAATAATTATATACCAAATAACTTTGTTTCCACTCTCAAGTCTGTGCAGGTTTGTTTAACGTTTGTTTGTGAAAGTCTGCTTATTGTTATGCTTAGGGTCCGTAGCAGGGTTGACCCAATCCAACCGGGGCTAGACCCGGCCAAGGGGGATCAACGAGCAAACCAAATGGCCCAAATAAATGGCGAAGATAACGAAGAAGAGGGAGGAGAAGAAGAGGAGGACGAGGATGAAGAAAATCACGGAGAAGGGGGGAGAGAAGAAGAGGAGGAGGGAGAAAAAGAAAAAGATGACGAAGAAGAGGGAGAAAAAGAAGAGGAGGAGGAGGAAGAAAATGACGAAGAAGAGGGGAGAGAAGAAGAGGAGGAGAAGGGAGAGGAAGAAGATGACAAAGAAGAGGGAGGAGAAGAAGAAGAGGAAAAGCAGGACGGGGAAGAAAATGACGAAGAAGAGGGGAGAGAAGACGAGGAGGAGGAGGAGGAGGAAGAAAAAGAAGAAGAAGAACAAGAAGAACACAAGGGAGTTCAACCACCAACGAAAAGAAGCTGCACGATTCAGTTTCTCACCAAGACAGATTCAAAACAGTGGTCAATCTTCACCTGCGCGCCTTCCCCTGGCACGACTTTCCAACTAAATACACACACGGCCTCCACAACCACTAGGCCGGGAGGACCCTGGGGCGATCCACTTGGCAAGTCGGTTAGCCCCCATTCCGCCTTTTCTCCTTTTCTTCTGCACGCCCCTAACCCGGTTCTCACCCGGGTTCATTCCTGAACCTTTTCCATATGTCACCCCCGTGTAGGGGCCATGCGGATCTTTCCCGATTTAGCAGATCTCTTCCTACAAGATCCGTCCTACAGCAACACCCCCCCTACCCTACCATTCCCACCTGAACCCGGCCTCCTTTCGAGGATTATGCATTTCAACCTTTCACAGCAGCCAAGCTAGCCTTCCCTGTATCATTCCAGTTTCATCGAATGCCCTGGAGGACTCCGCCGGGGTGACGCCTCGTGGCGGCACCAAGGGCCTCCCGTTCTCCCCTACCTGTCCCTCCCTCCTTAGTTCGTACGCACCCGGTGCATTCCCCATCCGGGTTCACTTACAGACCTGCAAGGGCCGTCCCGGCGTTACTATTGCCAAAAAATCTCCTCCGTATCACGCTGGGTTTCGCAAAAGATCTGGGGAACCCCGATCTTAGCTGGCCCCTTCCTAGGTCTGACACAGGCCCTCGCCTCAGCAACTCATAGGCGCGCCTGTTACACCAGCCCCCTACGGTCGCAGCCAGCCTTAGGCCGGGTGTCCGGCTCCAGCTGCCCTATCCAACTAAGAAGGCCAGCCAGCACTAAGACAACAAAAGGCAGAAAGGAAGAAAATAGGGAGGTTGGCCGATGTCGGGCGCGGCCTACCGGCGTCCCTTGTTGTACCTGCGACGTGGGCCCGCGCGCGGATTCCCTTAACAAAACTAAGGGGGATAGCCCCGCGGGACCCTCAACCCCTCAGCCGTTCGCTGCTCCTTTGCCCCCACGCTGCCTCCTGCCGACCTCGATCCCCGAATCTCCGCCGCAGTAGCCCGACGTCGTAACCAATAGGGCTAAGAACAAGCGTGGTACCAGCGGGCGCGGCTTCCCCCTAAGCTGGTACCTCGCGGTGCTCCGGGCCAAAATACCGCTTCGGCCGTTCTTTCACCCCACATTTGTACCTGCAGCCCCTAGGTGCCCAGGCCGGGCCACCGCCCCGTGCTGTGGCCATCCCGTGTGCCTACCGGCACGCCAGTCCTACCGTCACTCACGCGCGCCGACCAAAAAAAGCGGACTCTCGGCCCCTAACCAATCTCGTGGCCTGGTACGGGCCGTACCCCGATCCGGGTCGGTCGGTTACCCCGGCCGCCTGCTCAATCAGAAAAATCACACGCGCGCCTTAACATTGTGCGCCCACGTACTCCCTACCAGGACACGGCAGACCTTGGCCCGCGCGGGGACGACCCTCACATTTTTCCGCACGGGCACTCAAAATCCAGGTTAACCGAGCCTTTCTGTCACCTGCAAAAACCAGAGCGGATACCCTTGCAAGGGTATTCGCGCCGACAGCATGACCGCGGAGAGTTGAGGGCAGAGAAGAGAGCGGTCACTGGCATTGAGACATCAAGGAAGAGGAAGACTTCTTCGCAGCCCCTGCCAGCGACAGGGGCCACGAAGAAGCTTTGTCAGTCGCTCATGGAGGACTCATTCGATCCTAAATGGCCGCAGGACTTAGACGCGTATTTCCTGCAGTGGTTCTATGTCAGCGACATCCCATTCCAAGCGGCTAGGAGGCCAGAGTACAACACGTTCAGGAGGCACCTTGCAACGTGTCCCTCTTGGGTACATCCGTCTCTGCCCAACCATCACCGTATCTCTACCGATGGTATTGTCCAGTAGCACAAGGACGTTGCGGAGATGTTGGGGACGCTCAGGAGAGATGTGGCGGCGACAAGAGCGACCATCCTCACGGACGGTCGTAAATCCATCACTCCTGATCAGATCGTCAACTTTTTGGCAGCCGGATCTTCAGGGGCGTACCTGTTGAGGACAGTGCAGAGGGACGGTGTTGAGCCGGAAACGGCTGGTGTGGTTGTGACACGGTGGAAGAAGGTGTTCGATGACTTCGGCGTCGAAAATGTCAATGCGATTTGTACGGACTCCGCAGGGACATACGTCGCGGCTGCGAAGCTCCTTGCGCAGAACAAGGATCTTCAATACAGTCGCATCACTTGGCTTCCGTGTGCGGTGCATATCTGCAACTTGACGTTGTCAGACATCGGCAAGGATGGGCGAGATGGTGTCGTTGGACACAGGGAGGACACGATCATCAGAGCAAGGGCGGTCGTGCGATTCATTCGGTCACACAGGGCCGCCCTCACCCTTTTCAGGCGATTCTCCACGCGTCACCCTGCCAAAGGGCAGACAACAACATCCTCGGCTTCGGGCGGTACCTCCAGTCGTGGCCGGGAGCTCATTTACCCGGTTCAGACCAGATTCGCCACGCACTACCTGATGTTAGAGCGGCTGTTGGAGCGATGTCACGCGCTCAAGGATATGATGATTAGCGACGAGTGGTTGCGACAGCCGTGGCGGTGGAGCTTGTGGCTTCAGTCACGGTGGATGCGGCAGCAGGTCAGATTCACTGCGTTCTGGGACGACGTCGAGGACGTTGTGGAGTTGATGATACCTGGGATGCAGTTGCTGCGCAAACTCGACCGTGGGGGCACGTGATGTCACGCTTGTGGTCATGGTCGGAGAGGGTCATCCAGAGGGTTGCTCAGGCGCCCACCAGACGCACCAGTCGAGCAGAGCTGGACGCGCTTGTAAGAGGTTTGCAGGCGCGGAGGAGGCATATGTTGGAGCTTACTCATTGCATGACCCACCTCCTCAACCCGCGCCACAGGAGTATTGCTTACTTTGAGGGGGCGCGGATGACAAATCAACAGAGGGAGTTGGCAGAGGAGTCGGACATTTACATTCGACAGCAGGCGGGATCGGACAGACAGCTGTATCAGGATTTGAGGACAGCTTTGAGGGAGTTTCACAGCCGAGAGGGCGATTGTGCATATGGCGGTTGTGACGAGGACCGAGATGCGGAGACTTGCAGGGGGGAGAAGGAGAAATCGGCGGTTGCTCATTGGTGGGTGCAGTGGGGGGACGGCGTGCCTTTGTTGCAGAGTATCGCTGTTCGCCTGATACACACGTGGACATGTGCCTCTCCTGTGGAGAGGAACTGGGCTGTCCACGAGCGCGTTCAGGTGAAGCGGCGAAACAAGCTTGGTTTTACCAAGCTCACTCGTTTGGTGGAGATATCCACCAACATGAGACTGCTTCGATGCCACACGAGGGGTGTGGGGTACGTTCTGCCATGCGAGGACGAAGGCGTCGTCGCGGAGGAGGAGAGACCGGAGCCCCGTGACTCAGGAGTCTGCCCCGCGGACAAGGTTACTGAGGAGCAGCTGCACAGACAGTTGTGGAAGGGGCAGAAGGATTCCCTCACTCGACAGCCTGCGAGCGTAGAGAGATACTTTGGCAGGCGAGCGACCATTCTTCTGCCACATGAGGAGGAGTCCGTGTACGACCCAGAGCCCGACCCTCTCGCGCAGGATGAGATTGAGGAGGAGCCATGGTCTGATCCCGATGATATGGATGAGGAGTTGGGCCGGTCATCCGACAATGACGCCCCCCTGACATGGTTGCGTCGTCAGACGCTTGAGTCGACCACGACCCGTCCTCGTCTTTCGCCTCACTGACGAGATAGTGTTGCGCCTTGACCTGCGGCGGTTGGCCAGTCCTTTCCACAGCGACAACACTCGTCCATCCACTCGGACAACGACGACGATGGCAGAGGGTATGAGGGCAGCAGCGAGTCTGACGACGATATGGATTTTGGCGGGGGTGCGGAGGGCACCGCAGCGTGAGGTGATGACGGTCCTCGAGACATTACTGCCGAGGGGCAGCAGGGTCAGCGACGCTCACTTAGATTGGTGGAGGAGAGGGCTCGTGGTGCGGGGGGGTCGGGCAGGGGAGGAGGAGATGGAGGATCCGGGGGAAGGATTGCAGTTTCGCCTCAAAGAGGGAGATCCGAGGCTGGTCGCAGCCTTTCAGCCACTGCAGGGGATTTACCCGCCGCGACTGTCTCGTTGTCATATTTTCTGGGCATGTCGAAGAGAAACACCCGCAGACGCGTCCGCGGGGCCGAGCTCGGAGGGCGGACGCATTCACGGCCGCCTCCGCAGCCTACCGGGTCCGCGCCGCGGACCCGATTTTACCAGATTTTTCCTGAATTAAATAATAGGCCAAAAAAAAAAAGAAAAAAAAAGGGGGTTGTAGGGAATTTTAAGCCCTACAACCCCATATTTTTTTTTTTGGAATCCGACTTTGTTTATGATTTTTTAAAAATCAAAAACTAAATTCGATTTAAAGAAATATATATATATATATATAAAGAAAAGCTGGATTTTTTTTTTGTCATTTTTTATCATCAGATATATGGTCCCTGAGTTCACCTGTATTTTTTAGAAATGAATTTCTGTTTTTTGTTGGGGTATGAGGCGTTTTAGAAAAATAAAGATGCAAAATTTGAAAATAAAAAAAAAAAAAACTTAAAAAAAAAAGG